TATTCCAAGTAAAGGATAAATGTATAAACAAAGAGTCATGTAACGACCTCTGAAACAAAGTTGATTCACTCTATAATCAATTCACTAATAGTATATACTTGTAGGTGTATTATTGAAATTCTCACTATCCATTAGTTACAATTATGGTCAACAAAATTTTATGTTGTTGGTCTACAAAAAAGATATATAAAAATCCCGCAACTAAAACTAATCATAATAGTAATTGGGTCGTCTTTATATTTACTACAAAGTACGAACACATAGTTGTTACGTTGATTTTATAGTAGGCATTACAAATTTACATTCCATATGGGATATGGGCCATGATGTTATAAATTTGATGTTTGTACGTAATGTAGACAGGACCGTATAAGAAAAGAGCAAGTGGTGTAAGCATTACCGAACATAACCGTAATTAGTTACAACATATCAGGCGTGTCTCAACTTTGTTAATGGGTCATGAAAAAGCCTTTTGAAGCCCATTTAGTAAAATACCAAGAGCTGACGTTATTTAGTGTGAGTGTTCGAGGGTGTGTCTCACAGTCACAGACACAGGTTCCTTCGCCGCACGCCAGATTTGTCGAACTGCTGACGGAAACTTGGTTATCGTCGCCGTGAAGAAGGTACTGATGTAATTTTATCGGTGAAGAGTTGTAAGAATGCAGTTTGGTTAAGTTTTGAGAGGGTTTTGTGAGAAATTGAGTTGTTAGGGTTTAAGCGTATCTTAAGGAGTGATTTTCATGTTTTTTTTTAAAAAGTGGAGAGAGGATGTTCCGTGGTTCTTTCTATTAAGACACACTTTGCATCTCGTGTTCACATCAATTGAATGATACCTTTTTTTTTTTTTACTTCCGTTTACGATTTTTTTTGTTTTGTTTTGTTTTGTTGCTAAGATAATGAGTCTGGACAAGAGGAGTAGGAGTCCGATGGCCAGAAAGCTTCCTTCTGATCGTTTTTCTTACCGTGACTATCCTTACCGTAGAGATTCACTTCGGACTTTCAGGTTTTTTTCATCTCCATTAAGATTTAATTTCTGGTCGGAAAATGGCTTAGCTGTTTACTTAGAAGAAACTGTTTTCAGAAATTAAATTGGTTTTACTAATATGCTTCTTCCTTGCTACATAAAAATTATGTTGCAGCAGCCAAAGTGATACGTGTAACAACTGTAAGCGACCTGGTCATTTTGCTCGACAGTGTCCTAATGTCTCAATCTGCCACAACTGTGGCCTTCCTGGGTATATACCTCTTCTTTCTTTCTTATTAGATCTTTTCGTTTGTGCTTCACGTTTTAAGTTTATTTAGATTGTTATTTGAAGTTCTTGCTACATTTTAAAATTTTACATATTTGTATCCTCTTTTTGTGGCCAACATTGATAATTAAATATATCCTTTCTTTTTCTAATAAAATTTGGTAGGCACAATCTCTCTGAATGCTCTGCGAAGTCTGTGTGTTGGAACTGCCGTGAGCCAGGACACATGTCTAATACCTGCACCAACGAAGCCATTTGTCACAGCTGCGGTATAGCCGGACACCAAGCTAAAGACTGCACGGCTCGCCACCTCCCACCTGGTGACCTAAGACTCTGCAACAACTGTTACAAGCAAGGTCACTTCTCAGCTGATTGCACTAACGAGAAAGCCTGCAACAACTGCAGGAAGACTGGTCATCTAGCTCGTGACTGCAGAGACGATCCCGTGTGTAACAACTGTAACCTCGCTGGTCACGTTGCTGTCAAATGCCCTAAAACCAATGTGTTAGCAGAAGAGAGAAGACCACGAGGAGGCAGAGCCAGGGAGGAGGAGGTGGTTTGCAGGAATTGCAGGCAAGTGGGTCATATGAGCAGAGACTGCAGGGTAAGGCTGATGATATGTCGAAACTGTGGTGGAAGGGGACACATTGCGTATGAATGCCCTTCTGAGAGATTAGTGAACCACCACCACCACCAGCACTACCCCTTAAGGCACTAAGTAGCTTTTCCTATGTTAGTGTTCTCAGGAGAAAAACCAGTGTTTGATTTATGGTTTTGTTTATGACTTATGACTCCTTTCTTTCTCGGTTTTTCTAAACTTGACCCATCCACGTTAAAATCCTGTACCGGCCATGACCAAGAAATCTATTCTCTTAAATTAGAATCTACCAATTGATAAATGTTATATCCACTTTTTCACCATAATATATCTTACAATAATATAATGACCAATTTAAATCAAATGTACCACGGTGTGAATAACGTTTGTCCAATTATTTTGGAAATTAAATGAAGGTTACTCGATATTATTTAGCATACAAATGTAGTTAATGTTATATAATTAGAGATCTATTTAAAACTAAGTTGGAAATTAAGTGAAGGTTATACAAATGTAGTTAATGTTATATAATTAGCGATCTATTTAAAATAAGTTGGAAATTAAATAAAGGTTACTCATATTATTCAGCCTTCAAATTTAATTAATGTTATATAATTAGAGATTTATTTAAAAATAAGTTCAGTGGCATAAAATTAATATTACATGGAGTAATAAGGTCAAAAATCAAGAATATTCTGATTTAATAGAATATAAAAATAAAATTTCTGGAAAAATTAAAACAAAAATATATCCGTCTTTTCAAAGTGCGGGTTGTATGAGGAAGAAAAAGCCTAAGGGCATCTCCGATGGTTGGTTGCATTTTTTGCTTCAAAATTCACTTTATACAAAATGAAGCACATCTTTCCCAATGGTTTGCTTCATTTTGTTTTTGTAAAAAGAATATTTTAAATATATTCTATCTCTATTTTATCATTAATTATTAATAACACCTTATACTTTTTCATATTATTAATTGTACTCAACTATTTTGTTTTAACAATCCAACACAATGATTATAGATTCAATGATGATATTGTAAGTATTTTTTTAACGTAATGTATATATTATTTACTTTGTTCTAATATTTTTTTTAATTGATATGTAGTTTCCACAAGCCAAAATAATGTTTGTGGATGATCCAAAATACAAAGGTGGTTGGAAATTCGATCATGTATGTAATATTATCAAGAATTTTGAGAAGTTTAAAGAGGGTGACATATCTGCTAGAAAAGTATCAAACTAATGTGGTTTTGGAGATATAAATTCAGAGTCTGAAAATCTTAACTCAGATTGTGTTACACAAGAATCTCCAGGTTTGTCTTCATTTTCTTTAAATTTAGATACTGAAGAAGATACTATTGGTGGATCTTCATCCAAAAGACCAATTGGAGTAAAAAAATTCCAAACTTAAAAGAAAAAATGATGA